CCTCCATTAAAGACTCCCTCGCCACCTCCCATGGACCTGTCTTGGGTCCCCCCTGCCACGTCCACTCCATCAAGAGAGAATGGGGACACCTCCCTTTGTTTTTCATCCCCGCCTTCACTGTTAGACCTACCTGAACACTCTGCAGGGCTAATAAAATCGGCGATGAAGACTATTCCTCTCACACCCATATTAGCTCGATCTAGAGTCCTGTCCAACATTCTAAACCACTCCCCATATGTACCTCCAAAACCACCTAGGGTTTCCAATTCACCTACAAAAACCACCTCAGCCAGTCCCTCCCCTAACCTCATGACCATTCCACCCCCACTTCCCCCTCGTTCAACATCCAAAACCTCTGCCTCAGCCCACCCCGGCCCTAACCCATCACCTAAAACCCCTCCACCTCCCTGCCCCCCTCGTTCAACACCCAAAAGCCACCCACCTCTCCATCCTCCTCCCCCGCCTTCCCCTACCCCTCTTTTCTCTAAACACTAGGATGCACAGGGTCTCTGCTTCGCAGCCACTGGCAGTCTAGTTAGAGGAGAGACCCGGCTGGGGCCCTGTCATGAAGCCACCTGTGCCATTCCCTTAGTGATAACACAAAGAATACATTACAGAAAAACATCTGGAGTTAATCAGTCTAATCTGGAAAATCTAATTCTTGTTCCGTGTAAGAATCAGCCGACCGCAACCGCTGATACTGAAACTTTGAAACTTGCTACGCTTAATGTCAGATCTCTTTGTAACAAGTCTTTTTTAATCAATAATTTTATTTCTTCTCATAATCTTGATCTTATGTTCATGGCTGAAACTTGGCTTGACCAAAATTCAGAAAATGCAGTTTTAATAGAAGCATCACCACCAAATTTCAAGTTTGAATCTGAAATACGGGAAAACAAAAAAGGAGGAGGCTTAGCTGCCATTTTTAGAGACCACTTTGTCTCCCATAGAATGTCTCTTGGGAAGTTTTCGTCATTTGAATATGTGTCTTTTAAAATACAACAAAAACAATCTCCTCCAATACTCTTCGTTGTCCTATACAAGCCACCGCAGTCATGTCACAGTTTTATTGATCATTTTACCGAGTTGCTTTCAGTTGTATGCACAGATTTTGATAGTTTGGTTATTACAGGTGATTTTAATATTCATGTGGATAATGTTGATGACAGAAATGCAAATGAGCTGAGTTCTGTACTTGAATCCTTTGATCTCACTCAGCACGTAAGTGGCCCCACCCACAGCAGAGGGCACACTCTAGATCTGTTAGTTACTAAGGGGGTGATTATTTCAAATGTAAACGTGGTCGATGTTGCTCTTTCGGATCATTTCTGTGTTTTTTTTGACATGTGTTTCACTAACAAACCACCAGTGGACTCTGCAACTGTTCGAAGAAGGCGCATAAATGAAAATACGAGTGAACTATTTATGGAAATGATAAACTTTGAGAATGCATCGTATTCTACTGTAGATGAACTGTTTAACTCTGTCACCTCTAGTGTTTTGAATGTTCTGGATACCGTTGCCCCTGTGAAGGTTAAAATAGTGAAAAATAAGCAGAAGGCGCCGTGGGCTAAAGCAGACTCGGTCAGGGCACAAAAGAGAAAGTGCCGGAGGGCCGAGCGGAAGTGGCGCAAGTCCAACCTCCAGGTAGATTACGAGATCTTCAAAGATAAGTTGTGCGAGTTTAACCGGGTGCTACGTAGTACGAGAGAAAGGTATTTTTCTGAAATGATTGAAGGCTGCAGCAACAATCTGCGTGTTCTGTTCTCAACAGTTAATAGATTAACAAACCCCCCTGTTCAAATGCCATTAGAGCTTACTTCCAAACGTAAATGCAATGAGTTTGCTAATTTTTTCAATGACAAGGTTCAAGGCATCAAAAGCGCCATTGTCTCCAATCCACAGATAACCATCCAACAGCCAGAAAGGCTCTCTGAGCTAACTCACTTTGCACCTGTAAATGATAAAACTGTCCAAGAGATAATCTCCAGTTTGAGCTCCTCCACATGCAGCCTGGATGTACTACCCACTAGATTTCTGAAGTCTGTTCTGAGCAGTCTGTTACCTTCACTCACACAGATAGTAAACATGTCCCTTCATTCTGGAATATTCCCAAAGGCCCTGAAAACTGCAGTCATCAGGCCCCTGCTAAAAAAGAGCAGTCTCGATGCTACGGTACTTAACAATTATCGTCCCATCTCAAATCTGCCATTTATGGGGAAAGTCCTTGAGAAAGTTGTCTACCTACAGCTTACTAGATTTCTTATAATCAACAACTCATTTGATATGTTTCAGTCCGGCTTTAGACCCCACCACAGCACTGAGACTGCTCTCGTTAAGGTTACAAACGATATCCGGCTGAACACTGACGCAGGCAAAGTCTCAATCTTAATCTTGTTAGATCTAAGTGCTGCCTTTGACACCGTCGACCATGAGATCCTCTTACAGAGACTAGAGGACTGGGTTGGCGTCACTGGCACCGCCCTAAGTTGGTTTAGGTCTTACCTCGAAGACAGGAAGTACTTTGTGGAGATTGGAAACTGTGTCTCAGATCATATGGCCCTGACCTGTGGAGTCCCACAGGGGTCGATCCTGGGACCTCTTCTGTTCAATCTCTACATGCTGCCGTTAGGTCAGTTAATACGCAGAAACAAAGTTTCCTATCATAACTATGCAGACGACACTCAGATCTATGTCTCACTGACTGCAGGAGAACATGGACCAGTGGACTCACTCCTTCACTGTATCCAACAGATCAGTGAGTGGATGCAAAACAACTTCCTTCAGCTAAACGCAGACAAAACTGAAATGATTGTCTTTGGTCCCCAGAAACAAAGAGAGAGCGTCATCTGTCACCTACAGTCTCTCTCCCTAAAACCTTCAAACAAGGTCAGAAATCTAGGGGTAATACTGGACTCAGACTTAAATTTTAATAGCCACATCAAATCAGTAACATCAGCAGCTTTTTACCATCTAAAAAACATTGCCAGGATCAAAAAACATAGTGTCTAAAGCAGACTTGGAGATTCTTATCCATGCATTTGTCTCCAGTAGGTTAGACTACTGCAATGGCCTGCTCACAGGTCTGTCCAAACAGGCTGTAAAACAGCTGCAGTACATTCAAAATGCAGCAGCTCGAGTCCTGACAAGAACCAGGAAGTACGACCACATTAGTCCAGTCCTCAGGTCTCTGCACTGGCTTCCTGTGGCTCAGAGAATAGACTTTAAAACAGCTCTGCTTGTGTACAAGTCTCTCCATAGCCTCGCACCAAAATATATTAGTGACATGTTAGTCCCATATGAACCAGCCCGGACTCCGAGGAGCACAGGGACTGGACTCCTGTTAGTGCCCAGAGTCAGAACTAAACATGGGGAGGCTGCTTTTCAGATTCATGCTGCTAAAATCTGGAACAGTCTTCCTGCAGATGTGAGAGAGGCCTCCTCTCTGACAATGTTTAAAACCAGGTTAAAGACGGTTCTGTTTAACTGTGCATACAACTGAGGGATTTTATATTTTTATCTTTCTTTTTAATGTTCTGTGATAATTTATGATTTTAATGCTTTCTTGTTTTGTTCAGCACTTTGAATTGCCTTGTGTATGAATTGTGCTATATAAATAAACTTGCCTTGCCTTGCCTTGCCTACTCATATTACAGTATCGTCATAGGAACTAAAGCAAGGATTGGTTCATTTATATTTAATCTATAGTTCGAAAAGTTTTGTATTTCCCATTTGTCTGTTTTTATCCCATTTCCTTGAATTATTCAATTAATTCCGTATGTGGATGTGGGGTTTTAGCATCGACGACACTGCTGCTGTAAAAGAGAAAACACAAGACCCACAAATCTATAAGTCCTGCTGTTGTTTGAGACATCTGGGAGTAGACACAGGCATTTATGTAATGTTTTGATTGTGTTTTTAATTTGCTGTAGCACCTTGAGATGTGTTTGCAAATGTAAGGTGCGTTATAAATAAAATCTATTATCATCACTGATTGGACACATACAAACAGTGGTCATCCTGTTCCCTATGGACCAATGGCTCTTATGTGGATGTTATTATTGCATTTCCTGTGTTTGTACTGTTTCTCTTTTCTGTTCGAGTTCTTAAAATTATCATTGACTCTTCTGGCCACCCTGGAAAAGCCATGTTCCAGCTTCTTCCCTCTGGCAGAAGACAAAGGGGCACTTTATTGATCCCTGTAGGCAGGGCAATTCAATCCTCTGCATTTGACCCATCCTGATGCCGCTAAGGTTTACGTCAGGTGCAGTGGTCGCCGTAGTAACAGCGCCCGGGAGCCCATCTCCAGATGTTGATGCTCGGCTTGGTCAGGACTACCGGAGCTGGAGGATTTAACCTAGTGTGCATGTTTTTTTCGCTGAGATGCAGGACAGCTGGATGTGAACAGCTTCTTCCCGCAAGCACTTTAATGATCTTGCACTTGTTATTGTATTGTGAAACCGTTTTTGTCGATTGGTTTCACAGCGACAATTGTTTCTTGTACATTTTTAGCTTGTTTTATTCACATACTTGTCTGGTGCACGCTGGGAGACTTTTGCACATGTATTCCAATGTGGTTTTACTGCAAACTGCAAAAATAAACCGTAATCTGTTATTGGAGAATCGACCACTTTGTAAAGTCCTCCGAGACGGAATTGAGTAAAATCTTGCACCAAAAACTCTGCTGGATCAACCAAAGGCCATGATGTCTTGTCTCCAAACTCGAAGAAACCGGGCCTTTACACAAAAAACACATTTGTGCCTTGGCTTTTTACACCCACTGAGTTCTACTGTTGGGGCAGCTGGCATTGATATTGACATTTTTTTGTCTGCAAACATCAGCTTAGGGTCTCTGAAGGTTTTGTGAATGAAAGTAAATCTCATGTCTCTATGGGTAGAACATAATACAAAAATAGCCTTTTTAAAATCACAATGCCTCATGTCAATCTATGTATATTAATAATGTGTTTGTATAAAAATATGTGTGTGTGTCTCTTCAGGTGAAGTCCTTTACGCTGTTTGTGACACATTACCTTCTTCTGAGTGAACTGGAGAAACTGCATCCTCTGCACGTCCACAACTGTCACATGTCTTTCCTGCTGAACGATCCCGACGCCGCTGCAAGTTCCCATGGTAACCACATGTTTGGTGCTGGTTCCCAAAGTCAGGTTATTGATGCCAAAAATGGGCCTAACATCATTAAAATAAAGACACATTTAAGTGTCTGGGTGTTTTTAATTTAAGTAGACATTGGGATTTAGTGAAAGATCATGGTCCTGTACTTAATTCCTCTGCGTTTAACCTTGTTTTATTTATATACTTCTTTGGTGCACACTGGGGACTTTTGCAAATGCATTCCAATGGGGTTTTACTGCAAATGGCAAATAAAACAAATCTGAATCTGATTTTATGCAGAAATGTGAGCAATTCCAAATACTTCAGATACCTTTTCAGGCCACTGTAACATTGAGGGATAGACTCAGATGAATTATACAAGATAGGACAAACCATTGGTGCTCCCCATCTTGCCCTTTCTTACTCCACTGATGTATTGAGACTGTTTTTGTTGTTGTTTTTGTTTTTCTAGATGACGTTCGGCCCGAGTTCATTACATTTCTGTACCAGCTGACAGGGGGCGCTGCTGAGCGGAGCTACGGCCTGAATGTGGCTCGGCTCGCGGACATTCCCGACGCCATTCTGCACCGGGCAGCGAAGAAATCCCGCGAGCTGGAGAACATGATCACTGACAAAAGGTCCGACCACCCCCACCATGTTTTATCTCTATTTTATTAAATGTTTTCACTCTACTGTGGTCCCTCGCCTTTAGCTGCCTCGCTGTTTCACACATTTTTGGGTGTAACGTGACTGTTACTTTTATCTTTATTAAAGGTTGGAAGAAAACTTTTGGAGCTTGGGTGCACCGCAGTGATTAGTTCAGGGGACTCTCAGCTCAGGCGTCTCTCTCTGGTCTTCCTGGTCTCGCTCTTGTCTCGCTCTCGAATCTCTCTCCCTCTAGTCTTTTTGGCCTCTCTCTCACTCCGGTCTCTCTCTCTCTGGTTTCTCTCTAGTCTCTCTCTCTGGCCTCTCTCTCTGGTCTCTCTTTCTGGTCTCACTCTTTGGTCTCTCTGGTCTCTCTCTTTCTGGTCGGTCTCTGGTCTCTGACCTCTGTCTCCCTCTAGTCTCTCTGGCCTCTCTCTCACTCTGTTCCCACTCTCTGGCCACTCTCTGGCCTCTCTCTGGCCTCTCTCTGGTCTCTCTCTGGTCTCTCTCTGGTCTCTCTCTGGTCTCTCTCTGGTCTCTTTTGTCTTCTCGTAGCCCTCAGTCCTGCCCCTCAGTGCAGTGAGTCGCCACAATAAACCAGGGACTAATGGTCAAAACCACAACTCCTTACACATACAGCATTTTAATATCTACAAATAAATAATGGCCAAAGGTGAGTTCAATACTTGAATTTACAGATGACTGAAACACGGATAAATGTCTCCAAATGCATGTATTTGAAGGAAAAACCATAATAAGTCTTATCAAACTGGGCGTGAGCAGTGGGAGCGGAGAGCAGAGTGTCAGTAATCCTCTCTATATGAAGTCTCGCACACGCCGCTGCCGTAATCCTTCTATATGAAATGTTTGTTCTGTTCTGAGGCCACACTTAGTACAATAAAAGCAGCAGAAAACCACAGCCGAGGACACAGTGGTTTGTTTTACTCACAGCCATTTTGTCTCTTACGTGTGGACGTTACATGTTTCTATCCGCGGCATGAGGCAAGTTTATTTGTTATATAGCACAGTTCATGCACAAGGCATCTCACAGTGATGAACAAAACAAGAATTATACAAGAAATTAAAATCATAAATAATCACAGTACATTAAAAAAAGAGTGAAGATACAATCCCTCAGTTTTATGCACAGATAGACTGTTTTTAACATGGATTTGAACATTGTCCGAGTAGAAGCCTGTCTCACATTTTTGGGAAGACTGTTCCAGATTTTAGCGGCTTAAATCTGAAATGCTACGTCCCCATGTTTAGTCTTGACCCTGGGCACCAGCAGGAGGTCAGTCCCTGTGCTCCTCAGAGTCACCAGCAGGAGGCCAGTCCCTGTGCTCCTCAGAGTCACCAGCAGGAGGCCGGTCCCTGTGCTCCTCAGAGTCACCAGCAGGAGGCCAGTCCCTGTGCTCCTCAGAGTCACCAGTAGGAGGCCAGTCCCTGTGCTCCTCAGAGTCCCAGAGTTGGTTCATTTGGCACTAACATGTCACAGATGTACTTTGGTGCGAGGCTACGGAGAGACTTGAGACCAGGACTATTGTGATGGTACTTCCTGGTTCTTGTCAGGACCTGATGTATGGTGAGAATCTATGACACCTGTGGATCATTGATACATATTTATAGACATTTAAAACATAAATAATATGTTTAAATCCTGTGATAAAAGAAGCCGCCCGGAGCCTCTCCCTTCTGCTTTGACTTTACTTTACTTTTTCTTTCTTTTTTAAAACTGTAATAAGCAGATTATTTTTCAGCCTTGTGCAAATGGAGAAATTCTTTGATCTACGGTGGAGCGTTGCCTGTGATGTGACGGTTCAAAACCATCTGGACTTTTCAACAAACTAAATATATAATAAAGGCCAACAGGTGTCAGTGCGGATCATATGCCGCAGACAGAAGCATGTGCTGTTGTCTTAAGACGAAATAATTTAAAATAAAATAAAATATACTTTACAAAATATCGGTATCTGTGAATTAAAACTAACCCAGTCCCTACTTATTTATGTATTTATTATTATTATTATATTCTTTGCTTGCTTTATTGCTTTGATCATGTTGAGATCGTGTAAAAAATATATATATATATTTTCTAAAGATAAAAAAATCTATATCTTTATAACTTCATTCTTATAGTCTGCACATGTTATACATTCATACATGCATCAATAATAGTATAGTGGCTCATTTTAACAGCCCCAGTGAGCCACAGTGAGCCGCAGTGAGCCACAGTGAGCCGCAGTGAGCCAGATGTGAAAGTTTTCTAACAATGAAGACCAGGGAGATGTGATCCAGATAAGTAATAATATAAAGCTTTTTTTGGACACTCAAAGACGCTTTACATGTCATAATTCATTCTCTCCATACACGGTGGTGATAAACTACTACTGTAGCCACAGCTGCCCTGGGGCACACTGACAGAAGCGAGGCAACCAACGACCGCCTACCACCACCAACCATTCACACACATATCAGACTCATTCTGAACAAAGGGGGTGAAGTGTGTTGCCTAAGGACACTTGGGGGCACTTTACAGCCGCAGCCGCCCCACTGTGGCATCAGGTGTCTTGCCAAGGACACAACGACAGCAGACAGTGGGAGTCGGTGGAGAAAGTCTTGAGGTTGGCTCGAACCCACAACCCTCTGGCTCAAAGGCTCTACCAACTGAGCTACTGTCACTAACAAAAACCAAAAAAGAACATTAGTCTCTCTCCGCAGCAGGTGGGTTTGACCTCAACTCAAACTGAAGACATCAGAGGCGTCTAAATGATGGGAGTGTCCAGATATTAAAGCTGATCCACCTGTTTTTATCTCAGATTGTGTTGTCTTTTACAGTATCTAACTTCACATTTTAGAATTACTCTTTTAAACTCATTTAAGCGTTTTAGCGTTCTAGATTTTTAACACATAGTCTGATTGACCTTTTAACAAAAAAAAGATTTTATATTTTCAACTTTGACTTTTTAGCTTTTTAACTGTTCCTGCTCTCACTGATGGCGTGATTGAAAGTTGTTTTTTGTATAATATGTCCACTTTTCATAATGATCCTATCTTTGTGTTGTAGGAAGAATAAGAAGCTTCTCTCTGATCTGTGGAAGATTTCAGACAAAAAGGCGCTGATGGAGTGGCAGACCCTGAGCTCGTCTTCCTCAGAGGAGCTTTGTACAAACCCAGTGGAAAAGCCCAAGACCTGATGAACTGTGCCTGATGAAGACGCTGCTGGATCCAAACGGTGTCACTTTGTATCGACTGCTTTGATAAATAAACATGGATGAAATAGAACTGTTGAACCTTGTTGTTGCCTTCTGTGTATATGCTTTTCTAATTCAATTTATTTTATTTTTGTATTGCCCTAAATCACAACAGTCGTCTCAGAGCTGAGGTTTTGATTCGCCAACAACAGATCAGAGAATCAAACTGTTAGAACGCAGGAAATACAATAACAAACACACAGAAGCCATTGGTGCATACGGAGCGGGATGACACAGTCTATACATATTGATTCATGTCCTTAAAGCCTTTAATACACATGCACGCGCACACACACAGTGACAGCTCTCCAGGTTAAAAGTGTTTTTACTTCAGATTCTATGTGTATGTGTTGTATCTGTTGAATCTCATGTGACATCATGTGAACACATCGTGAACACCTTAAGTGTCTCAGATGAACTCTTTTGCCCGCACTGGGCTCGGTGCGTGTCTAGAGCCTGCTGTGATCACTTCTCGGCTCTGGCTGTTTGCTGCAGACGCGCACACGCTCCGCCTTCACTCAGAGGAGCGCGCATCACGGGGGACAGTGCAGCGATGACGTTCTGCTGAGCGCACGAGACTTAGCCCTGGCCAAAGCGGATTAGGACGTTCTCCGCTGGGTCCTCTCCGTGGCGCCCGTATCTAGTGCTGGGCTTCCCTGCGTGACGACGCCTCTGGCTCTTTGCTCTTTGCTCTTTTCTCTTGTTTAGAAGCTTTGGGATTTGACGCTTCTGCATCATGCGCTCCGTGCGCTGCGCTCTGCTCTCAATGCACTGAGTTTCTCCAAGAAAATGGATCAACTTTTACGCGCGCCTTGGCACCGCTGAGATTCTGAGGGAAAGTTTGCAGGTTGCGGCTGTGAACATGGAGCCAGTGTGAGGCACCGCGGTCCGTCCTGCGTCTCTCCTGCGCAAAGCAACATGCAGAAGAGCGTGCGTTATAACGAAGGCCACGCGCTGTTTCTGTCCGTGGTGGCGCGTAAAGAGGGAACCAAGCGCGGCGTCCTGTGCAAGAAGACCACAGAGAACAGCCGCTGGCACGACAAGTTTTTTGCTCTTTATCAGAACCTACTTTTCTACTTTGAAAGCGAGCAGAGCGCACGACCCGCAGGAATTTACCTTTTGGAAGGATGCACGTGCGAGCGCACCCCGGCTCCAAAAATGTCCACGACTGGAAAAGAGATGATGGACAAACAGGTGAGATGTCTTTGAGCCAAACTCAAGGCTCAGTGTGTGGTGAAAACATGTGTGCAGCTCACTCAACAGGTGATGATGATGATGATGATGATGCTGGAGCAGGAGGAAAGAGGAAAGTGACTTTCTCTGAACAAATGTCTCACTTTGTCCTTGATGTAACTCTGATAATCTCAGTCCTCCGCAGTCTGTTCAGGGAAAACCGATGTCCAGTATTTACTTCTGGATAAATATTTGGACAAACACGAGCTTAGTGTTTGTGCTTCTTGAAGTGGATTGACTTGTTGGCCTAACATTTAGGTTGTAGTTGTTGCTAGGAAACATTTGAATCACCATTTGTACGCAGCGTGAGCCGCAGGAGGCTGGTGTGCGGGTTATCTGCTCTGGCATCACATTCAGGACAAACAATAAGAAGCAACTGGTGGACGAGCAGAACATGCAACAGTCTCTTAGTCACTTCATCATAAATGTGTCATGAATATTCACATTATGTCCATTAGGCCTAAGTCCTCGCACTGTTTGAGGATCGACATTCTGGATTTGGCAGTGGAAACACTCCCATGATGTCTTGCACAATACTGAGCATTGCTTGTACATGTAATGTCTTAGTGCTTCCAAAATGCCCCAGACCCATCTGTCTTTGGCGCACGCTGCAGCTGTGATCTTTAATTAGGGTTATTTTCAATCTGCCCAGAGCTCATTGTGAACATGATTCTGGTGCTGCATCCAAGAGGAACACAACAAGCTCATGGAGGTCTATGCTGTACATTAACTGCAGAACACATCCTCTGCTCTGAGACTATAGTGTAGGAGCTTCTAGTGTATTTTTTTAAATCAGATTGTTGAGACCACGAAGCCAGTTTTGTCTCACCCCCACAAACGCCACACAGATAACCTGACAGGACGCGCCTTTGCTTTGTGTCCTCTTTGTGTCACCTGGACAGAGTCTCATTGGTTTCCACAGAGACTGCCCTCTGCAAGTAGAATAACGACAATCCTAAAAAACGATAACATCTGTAGAGCAGGGGTCTCCAACCTGTTGCTCTGGAGCCATCAGTAGCTCGCCACCCCCTTCCAGGTAGCTCACCAGAGGAATTCAGAACAAAGCACGTTATGAAAAATTAAACTACTCCAACTACTATACTGCAATACTGCTACTGCTGCTCCTACTACTATTATTACCAATGCTACTTTTTAAAGATACTTGTCAAATTAGCAAATTTTCCTTATTGTCAAATATGTTCAAAAAGAATAATCAATATAGATATTTATTTGCAGCAGACTTAAAGCTCGGGTCTGTATCTTTGAAACCACAAAATCTTTCATGTCACTAGTCCCTCGTTCTCACCACAGTTAGGTTCAGATCCGCTTTTTCAGACCACCCTCACTCAACCAATCAGCTCTCAGCTCTCAGCTCTCAGCCCAAGGAGGCAAATAGTGACTCGCAGGGCTTTTTCTTACATTAAATATAACATGTTTTCTTAAGAATGAAGACAGAATTTTGTGTTCTAACTTGTTCAAGACATTTTACTTTATTTATTTATTATTTACAATATTTATAAATTCAACAATACACTTAATATATCAGATTGTATTATTAATTATCATTATTTATTCTAATTATTTATTCTATAATGACCGCACCCGATATCAGACTCGTTCACACCAATACATCACCAAAGTTTTCCCAGGGGCCGCTTAAAGGAGTAGCTCTCTGCCTTTATCGTCCCAGGAAAGCAGCTCTCTGGGTGAAAAAGGCTGGAGACGCCTGCTGTAGAGAAGTGGGGCCGTAACAGTGCATCATAGTCAGAGGAGTCGAGGCCAGATGCTCGTCTCCTACAGACTCTTGATTGTTTATATTTACATTTAAAGCTGTTGCTCTTGGGTTTGTTTGTAATGTGTGTTTTCCAGCTGTGGAGCCTGATGGATGACGGCTGATACTGCTCTTTCACTTGAGGAGGTCTCTTGCAAAAATGAGTCAAAAAGTTGTGATCCTAAAGTGAAAATATTCATGTTTGGTGATTGGCAGACTGTGTATTTGAAAGGGGCGACAGTAGCTCAGTTGGTAGAGCATTGGCCTTAAGGCCAGAAGGTCGTGGGTTCAATTCCCACCTCTACACCTTCTCCACCGACTCCCACTGATGACCGCTGTCGTTGTGTCCTTGGGCAAGACACTTAACCCCACTTTGCCCAAAGCCCGTCCTCCTGTGGACTCACCACCTGCAGAGGGTCAGTGAGGGGCTGGTGCTATGAGACTTGGGTGGCATCTCTGATTGCCACCCCCCTGACCCAGAAATGGATTAAAGGGTAGAAAATGGATGGATGGATGGATGGATGGTATTTGAAAGGATCTGCTGAAGGACGGGTGACACTTGATTTGTACGGTGCTAAAAACACACTTGCAAGTAAAAGCCTGATGCTGTCGGGTCTCTGAAGCTAAGAAGAGCAGGGCCTGGTTAGTGCTGTGATGGGAGACCTCTGGGAACACCAGGTGCCACAGTGGGGCGGCTGTAAAGTGGCAAAAGGCCGTTCTGTTGTTAGGCAAGACGCTTCACCCACGTTGTCTAATAGTGCATTCAGACCACAAATGCTCAAACGCTGAAGCCAAGCTCACCAGACACAGAGGACTTCACACCAGAACGTCCTGACGCGAGCCGGAAGGACCGGAAGTAGCCGGCCGGCTCTGATGCTAACAGAGCTATGCTATCGGCTTCTTGTGTACAGATCTTCTCCAATATGCAGCTTTGCCGCGTGTCTTTGCTCACAGACATTCCACGGGCTTTTTACAACAGTAGTATGTGTTCACGAAGGTGCGCATACGTTTTTTGTATTATTAAACTGTATTTCCGCCTCGGCGAACACACTCGAAGCAGTTGCATAAGGTCACGGGAGCATGACAACGCATATTTTCACAAGCACAGAGTCCCCCATTGTCAACCCTGGTTTAGTCCTGGTTTAGTCCTGGTGTAGCTCCTGTTTTGGCTGTTAACAGTATGTTCAGTCTGCTCGCTCAGTCCACCAATGTCCCCGTGACCACTTTGCAGCTCTCTGATTGGTCGCTGCACGAACGTCACGAGGAAAGGATGAGCAAAGTTTATCTCCTGTGGGCGTCCATTTTCCGCTCCTGTCCTCCCCTTTCACTTTCCCGCCAAGTCCGTGTGTCTCTACTGAGCGGTCCGTGCGTTTTGACCAGTGGGGGAGGGTCCCAGCTCAAAAGTGGCCAAAATGACGTGCGCTGACATACTTGCAATACCACCCTGGGCCGATGGGGGGACCCAGAAGTATAATTAGCCAACGCTAACATATAGCATTGGCAGACCTCTCGAAAACGTCTTTACAGGATGGTCCAAAAGTTGTCTCTTGGCCCAAAGCTCCGTTCCACATGTGTGTCAAAGCTGAGGGGGGTGTTTTGGTCCACTCTAGTTTACTCGCTGTGATTTTTTGGAGTCTCTCGTTCAAATGAATGGAGCTGCGCCGGCTGACACATGCGCAGATGTGTTTTTTCTCAATTTTCTTGTGGGCGGGACCACTCGCGGCCATTTTGAATAGCTCTAGTAGAGCACATTTTTTGTAACCTTGCCTGCAAGCTGAATTCTCGCGGTATTTGTGAGTTCACAAACACTCGAGAATACATCTTGTACCGCTCCCGCTTACACTTTTCGAGTCGAACCACTGGGTGTGTGAGCCAATCACGCGCCAGTCTGGGGGTTTAGGGCGGGATATCCGGGTTTGACGAAAGCAAGAAGTGCCGGGCCGAAGCAAAACAAACATGGCTACGCAGGAGGACGGACGCGTAGCTGAGGCTATCAAGTCAGTTTTAGCAGAATCTCCAATTTCTTTTTTGAAAGATGAACAGCGAGAGGCGCTTTGTGCATTTCTGGACGGCAAAGATGTTTGTGCATTTTTATCTACGGGTTTTGGCAAGAGTGTAGGCGGGCACACAGCGTCACTTCGCCCAATCAGCTTGAAGTATTCTGCTGCTTATCCCTCCTTTCCCCGAAAGGATTCTCCGGGAGAAATCCCAGATTGATATCGCGGAGAACGCGTTAAGAGTTCTACACAATCATCAATCTGGCTCTTGCCAGGTTACATTTTTTGGCCCATTTGTTAGAACGGCGGAGATAGGCGTGACTCTGTCCGTTAATATATACATACCCATTGACTTTGCATTGAAATTTCAAAGAAACAAAAGTGACAAGTGTCAATTGGAAACAGTGTCAATAGTAGTGCAGATTTTCACACAGTGATCATTTAAAGTGACTTATTGTACAGTCTGACAGCGGTGGGGATAAAGGCCCACGCTCCTTCCTACATGGTTTTGTGATTTCTACATGATCATAAGACTGTACTGGTTTCCGACTCCGACTCTGCCTCCGTTAAAAAGGCCTCCACGCTGTCGTTTTTTTGCTCAACTGGAAAAGCGATTGTCTGATATCCAATTAGACAGCTGGTGACCGCTTCTATTTTAGTCCGGGAACATCGGTGAAAGAGACGCCTGCTTTGTCCAGTCGAGGGGAGATGGTCTTTTTAAATCAGGAAACATGTCTCTGTGTTGCACATTTGTGGCCTTTAGCTAAAAATGTGGGCGTTCTGGAGTTCCAAACGGTGCACAGGGCCTGAACTGTAAATGTTTTCATGAATTCGAGCAGTCAATTTGACGGCTTTTACTTGTGGAAGTGTAAATGCTCAGCTTATGTGCGTTTGTGGTCTTTCTAACTTTCTGTTTCTAAATGTAGTTGTTGTGTCCTTATTTTTCTGATATTTGAGTTTATAATGATACCAATAATAACAATGCATTGTTTTTATGCAGAGCTTTCAGGACACTCAAAGACACTTCACATAATATTCATTCACTCCATACACGGCGGTGATAAACTGATAATGCAGCCACAGTTGCAACACGGTGGCTGAGTGGATAGCACTCTCACCTCTCAGCAAGAAGGTCCTGGGTTTTAATCCCGGTCGGACTAGGGCCTTTCTGAGTGGAGTTTGCATGTTCTCCC